ATGCATTACAATGTTGCGTTACTCCCTAAAAAAAGTAAGTAATTATGTTACTTAGTTACTTTTTATGGAAAGTAATGAGATACGTTACTTTTTTATTACTTTTTAAAGCTGGGCAGGGCTTGATTATTTGTTTTTAATATAAAAAGTATTTTTTTACAAATGTAAAAGCCCTTTTCACACCAAAAGCGAAATGAATGCGCCTCAGGCTGAAATGTAAATGCACGTCTGTACAGCATTACTTAGTTACTTTTTATGGAAAGTAATGAGACGCGTTACTTTTTAGTTACTTTTTAAATCTGGGCAGGGCTTGCTTGTTTGATTTTAAATATAAAAAGTTCCTCTTTAACAAATGTAAAAGCCCTTTTCACACCAAAAGTGAAATGAATGCGCCTCAGGCTGAAATGTAAATGCACGTCTGTACAGTAGAGAGCGCAGCTCAAACTAACTACATGAAGAATATGACGCAGGACACTATTCAGCAATGACAGAAATGAAACAAATGTGTCATTTTTGCTTTAATTGGATCATCGGAGGTGACATTGGTTAATAAAATGGGATTAAATACATAAATGATGTTTGTCTTATTTAACATTTAATTGGTGAGGAGCACTGAATGTGTTTGTGTGCAGTGAGATGAGTAAACACATGCATGTTCATATTTAGTCTAGAGCTACAGTAAGATCATGTTCACACACAGCGCTCTGCACTGACTCCTGATTTCTGTCACCATGGCAACACCAGAGCTGTCACTCAACACATGCAGAGCTGTCACTCAACACATGAGAAACAAAGTAACTGGCGTTACGTATTTGAAAAAGTAACTCAGATATTTCCCTCTAAATTAAAAAGTAATGCTTTACTTTACTAGTTACTTTAAAAAAGTAATCTGATTACGTAACTCGCGTTACTTGTACTGCGTTCCCCTCTACACTGCAGAGAGCGTTAATCGTGTCTGACGACTGACGGGCATCACTGAGACAAGCTCATCACAATATGCTATCATTTGAATTCATGTTTTGATGTTTGAGCTCACAGTCGCTCTTGTTGATTTCAGAGCCGTATTTCGTGCAGGCCATCGAGTACGGCGAGTTCATCTACTTCTTCTTTCGGGAAATCGCCATGGAGTACAACAGCATGGGGAAGGTACGGGAAACACATCTAGCGTGTTTTGCTGCTTTAGCGCTTCAGACAGGAAGTGACAGGAAGTGGGCGTATGAAGTATGTGAGGGTTTTTAAGAGATCTCAGGCGCGGCCCTTCAGGATGCATGTACTAAAAATAACACAAACATTGTCTGCTATCCCAACGACGAGCCCTAAATAGCTTTAGGTCCAGAATTCAGTTCCTGGTCTGTGAGTGCTGTGAGCAAACAGACGAGTGCATGACAAAGGCTCATTGTTGTGAGTTCAAAGGCAGAAGACGTGAGATTTGAGAGGCTTCTGCGCTCCGATTCAGTGAGGAGTAATTACAGCCTGAGCGTCTCCGGTGAATATGAGTCTCTCCAGTTACTGTACGGACCAACCTGCCTGATTACTGTAATTACAGCAGCCTGACGCGACACTAACAGCTCAAATTACAGCGAAATGAGTGCTGTCAGCAGGAAGAATATGTCAAGTCACATTTGTTTCTGTAGCGCTTTATACAATACAGAATCAATGATTCAAACTTCATCAAATATGAAACCAGTTCAAATTTCAGCTGTAAAATCAGGGTCATTATTCAAATCAGATCAGTTCAGTAACTGTAAAATTCATCAGTTACGAAACTAAATTGATTTCAGCTGTAAAGCAGCTCTATTAAAGACAATAGAGTCATTATTCAGATCAGGTTTTCCCATCTGATAGTGGCAATGCAGTCAGATCAACAATATTACTGACTATTAATTAGGGCTGGGTATTGAGACAAATTTTATGATTCGATTTTGATTCACAAGCTTGCAATTTGCATTTGGATATATCAGATCCAGTACATTATCAAGAAAAATATCTCTCTCGACTAATCCTGTAACGTACAATAAACCCTGTCAGTCGGTGCATTGCTATATTAAACTCATTCATAAAATTGTACATAAGACAATTTCTATAATAAATATGTATTATAATAACATTTTAATGATAGAATTATGTTTCTACTGCAGTTTGTCGTTGAAATATAAACAACATAACATGTTTTCTAGATGGATTTATTCAAACATACATTAAATATTGAAGACAACAGGTTCAGTATAAATATGTAATATAGTGCATATATTTATCAAAATGCTCCCTTCTAGAGTTATTTTTCTAGCTGTTTATGATCATATGGTAAATGTGACGTTAGGTGACATTATTGATCTCAAGCTGTTTTATTGGCATCTTTCTGCGGTTGAATCACTGATCGATCGATTACATGATTCGTGATTCATTTCAGTGAGTTGTTCTGATTCCTCTGATGTTCGTTCGTGTTTATTTGCTGCTGTAACTAGTAGTAAAGAGGAAGAGATGACCGGTGATCTGTCAGCACACATTAAAGAGCCACAATCAAGCCAAAGGCGACAGGAACAAGAAACCCAAACTCCATCAGGGACAGAAATGCAGAATCCGGGCTCAGTTTAATTCTCCTGAAGCGTTTCTAGTGTTTTTGAGAGCATGATGCAGGTGTCAGGCGTGTTTAATGCCTCTCCGATCAGGTGGTGTTTCCGCGAGTGGCTCGCGTGTGTAAGAACGACCGTGGCGGCTCGCAGCGAGTGCTGGAGAAACAGTGGACTTCTTTCCTGAAGACGCGCCTCAACTGCTCCATCCCTGGAGACTCACACTTCTACTTCAACATCCTGCAGGCCGTCACCGACGTCATCCACATCAGCGGCCACGACGTGGTCATGGCCACCTTCTCCACGCCGTACAACAGGTACAGATTAAGGGCTGTCAAAAAAAAATTTGAATTTCGAATATTCATCAAATTTAAAATAAAAATCCACATTCGAATGCAAAAAAAGTTGCATTTGAATTTTAGGTGTGCGTCAGGAGTCCTTATCAGTGGCGCACGAGATGCGATGACGAAGTGGGTGTTGTTGCATTTGAATGCTTTTTTGTTAGTCTATCCAGTTGAAGCCACCAGATGCGGCGCTGCTGCATTGTTCATTCAAAATATTGCGGAAAAAGAGAACATCAGTGTGGAGAAGATGTTGTTTACGTCAAAACTGAAACCAAGCCGTTCACACAGAACGCATATTTATTGCATTTTCTAGAGGGACATCTATAAGTGTTGCACAAGAGAGCTGCATGTTTAGCAAGCCATCTAAAATTTATGTAAAATTCAAACTTTTAAAAAACATGTCTCGAGACTTTATGGCGGTTTTTCCCCATCCCACTGCATCTCATGTTTTTAAATAGAAAAAGTACTCTTTGCGATTGGCTTCCGGTCCTTTGTATTAAACTATGCATGCATACATGATGCTGTTTTGTTTCTAATTGTTTAAGCAACTTAATTATATATGGTTTATAAACATTATTTTAAACATGCACTTTTTTCACAGATAGTCACATTATTTTATTGCTTTAATAAACGTGCATTAGTAATATTTAGCTTGATGCACCCTCAGGGGAGAAACCAAACTGAAATTATGCCTTTTAAATTTGAATATTGATCATATTTAAGTACAAAATTCGAATGTATTTTTTCAACCATGTTGACAGCTCTAGTACAGATAAACAGCAGATAAGACCTTGTTTATCAGCGTCGAGATCCAGCAGATTCCCGTGAATGAACTCATGTTGATGGGAAGGCGACACAATGACCCTGTTAGTCAGAGCTTCTGTCTTACTCAGATTCACAGTTCATACAATCACAATCCGGCCCTTGTGTGCCGCTCGTGTCCGAGCCGGAGTGATTCACAGTTTTGTTATTTTGCTGAAAGCGTGTCTCCGTGATGAATGTGTGTTGCAGCATCCCGGGATCGGCCGTCTGCGCGTATGACATGGTGGATATCGCGGCGGCCTTCACCAGACGCTTCAAAGAGCAGAAGTCGTCCGATTCCACCTGGACCCCCGTCCCCGAGGAGAAGGTGCCCAGACCCAGGTATCCATCCCACACGCTTCCATTGGGTCTCTACTTACAGTCCAGCTCTCAGTCATTCTCCTCACTCACCAGCGAGACACTGCAGACCAAACCAGTGTTTATGCACTGGTCAGTTTTGAGGTCTATTTTGCTTCCATGTCGTCTTTCAGTCTAATGCAGTGGTCTCAAACTCAATTCCTGGAAAACCAGGAATTGAGTTTGAGAACATTAAATTAGTGGAAAGAAAACATGCAAAACACACATTCAAGTGTTTTTTATTGTACTTTATCTATTTGTGTCTGTAGATTTCAGTCACAATTCATATCTTTAAAGAGTTTTTTCTCTTATAAACATCAAACTGTACAGTTTTATTCCCCTCTCTATATTCTGAAGGTTTGTTCATATTTCATTCACACTGATTTATACAACATTTTACTCCTAAAACATGGTGAAAATGTGTTTGTTTTCTGTCTGTTGAAAATATTTTCTGATTCATGGAGTGATAAAAACACTGCACTTTTCTTACGTAGATTTTTTGTCTTGTTTTCAGCCAAAATATCTCAAAATTCTTAAATCAAGAAGAATTTTCTAGACAAGTACAAATTATTGTCTTGTTTTCAGAAAAAACATTTTAAAATGAAGTGAGTTTTTGCCTGAAACAAGCAAAATAATCTTGTTTTCTGTTTGAAATAAGATTATTTTGCTTACAACATTGGCAGATTTTTTGGCTTGTTCTAAGCAAAAACTCCCTTAATTTTGACTTGTTTTTTCTGAAAACAAGATAATAATTTGTAGAAAATCCTTCTTGATTTAGATATTTTGGCTGAAAACAAGACAAAAAATCGAAGTAAGAAAAGCCTTTGACTCTAATATGATGACAAAGTCAAACAAGAAATATGATCTTGGATTTATCCAATGTTGTATGGAAATCAGTGCATATTTAATTATATAATGTCTCATTTGCATATTTTCAGAAAACTTGTAATACAAAACAGTTTTCTTAATGCACTGTGTTTGATCAAATGGGGAAGTATGGTGATATCTACAAGTTAAAAGGTTTACCCTGTTCACCTGTGCTGTCTTGCAGCTCAAACCAGCGTTACTATGTAGACATGAAACCATAATGCAGTCAGCAAACATAGAACTCTGACTTATAGAAAATAACTCCACATCCTGTAACATCTGACAACCAATCAGAGTCAACTAAGGAACCTGAAGTGGATCAAAAACATTCAGAACGCAGTTTTGATCCACTTCAAATGTTGACTACTGTGTTCAGGGATAATGCATGCATTCATGTATAGTCTTAAAATTATTTAAATGAATATTTTAATAATTAATTCAATTAACTATAAAAATATTAAATTTTAATTAAATATTAAATTTATTTTTTATTTAATTGTATTTTATTTAAATGTATTTGTCCCTGTTATGTACACACAAGTGTTTGCGAGCACGTAAACCTGATTCTCCAGATGCAGCAGCTGATTAAATCATCTCACAGGACCGAAGATCTGCTTCCATATGGCTTGTCTCTGTGTCGTGAACGGCGGGACTATCGCCTGCGCTGATTAACATAAAATTATGTGTTTGTGTGAAACGAGGTCAAGTGTTAATGAGAGCGACCATGCCAACCGCGTCTCAATGTAATTCTGTTTCCTCTGTGGTGGGAATAAACCAATGCATTGCCCATTCAGCAGCAGCGCAGAGCCATAAACCTTCCTTCATTCAACATATTTATGGCAGTGCTTTAACCGTTCAAGGCAACATATTCATTACCGTGATTTAGGCTCACTGTCATGTGATTATGGCATTGGTTGGTCAGTTCTGTTGTTCATATCACTGATGCAGAGGATAGAGATGTTTGATGTTCCGCTGTCGTCTTCAGGCCAGGCGTCTGCGCAGGATCTTCCCCTGGAGAGAAATTCAAAGTGTCCAACGAGTTCCCGGATGAAACGCTGAACTTCATCAAGCTTCACCCGCTGATGGACGAGGCCGTTCCTTCCATCGCCAATCGGCCGTGGTTCCTCAAGACGATGGTCCGGTGAGTCGAGTCGGGTCAGAGGTCCTTCTAAGACGTGAATTATGCATGGCGACTATTGTCATGCAAATATGGATTGGTTTCCATCTTCATAAGCGCTGCTCATTTTCGTGAATGAATCGAGTCATTTGCATGAGATTCAGACACGAAGCCTGAGCGTTTCATGAGAATCTGGAGATATTTCATGAATCATTATATCAGCTCGACCCTGAAGGAGAGATGATGTTTCTCTCTAAAAAGCAAAAGCACAGTGAAAGACTGCCATCTGTCTTCTTATAATGAAGTGGATTATGGGAGAATTATCTGTTTCTAGCAGAACGAGACTCTTTGAAACGACGTCTGCTTTCAGCCTGATAAGTTTCTGTTCATTTGGGTTTGTGTAAATGTGCCCCAGTAAAACCGAGTTATTGAAAACACATTTGCTGAAGAAGCGTCTGTATCCGTTTCTCTCGGCTTCAAAGACTCCACAGATTTGGAAATATGAAAAAAAAACATGTATCATTTATTTGTCGTCTTATTTCCATCTTGCCAATTTTAATCACCCTGAAAATGTATTTGCATATGGATTTGGAAATTATACATACATTTGATTAAGACTGAGATGAGCTGCTAATTGGAACGGCAGTCGCCAGATAACGCTTTAATTCCTTTAGCGAGAGCCGAGTCGGAAAACCAATGGAAATTTAATTGTAATAGTGTTCATTTTGTCAGTCATTTTTAATCTTAGTCCTGTGTTGAATGTCCTTTTTAGTTTTCATCATATATGTGTCCCTGCAGCACAAAAGCAGTGTTAAGTCGCTGGGGGATATTTGTAGCAATAGCCAACAATACACTGTATGGATCACAATTATACATTTCTCTTTTATGTCAAAAATCATTAGGATATTAAGTAAAGATCATGTTCCATGAAGATATTTTGTAAATCTCCTACCGTAAATATATCAAAACTTAATGTTTGATTAGTAATATGCATTGCTAAGAACTTCATTTGAACAACTTTAAAAATGATTTTCTCAATATTTAGATTTTTTTGCACCCTCAGATTCCAGATTTTCAAATATTGCCTATCCTAACAAACCATACACCAATGGAAAGTGCATTTATTTAGCTTTCAGATGATGCATAAATCTCAATTTCAAAACAAAAGTTTTTTCAAAACTGTCCCTTATGACTGGTTTTGTGGTCCACGGTCACATTTACTCAACCGGTCCTGTTTTTTGTTTAGTCAAGGTTTAGTTGACTAAAAGTCTGGGAATTTGAGTCTAGTTTTAGACATTTTAGTCCTGCTGCATAATGGTTAAACTGATGATCACAATTATTTTCCTCAAAACTATAATGGTGATTACTGATCATGATTGTTGTCGTTTGAGAAATTACATCAGACGTCTGGCAACTCCAAGCATGAAAACATGTGGAGGTTGAGATTTTTTTCTACTCTTTATCTTTTTGGTTGTAGAAAATAGATACATTTTGTCACAGTGTTTAGTGATGTCAATCTTGTCTTCATTCATAGTCATAGTGTTCGTGAATGAAGTTAAGACTGTATTCTGTCTCTCTGGCAGATATCGTCTGACGCGTATAGCCGTGGATAACGCTGCCGGCCCTCATCGCAACCACACCGTGGTTTTCCTGGGATCGGAGCGAGGAATCGTGCTGAAGTTCCTGGCCAAGATGCAGAGCGGCTTCCTGAACGACAGCCTGTTTCTGGAGGAGCTGAGCGTCTATAACCAAGAGAAGTGTGTATTCCATTAGGACAAGCCGCTCTGTCATTTACACCCGTTTATCAGGTTACAGCACGCGGTTAGTAAATTAAAGAGCACTGCTGGTTTGGACCGCCAGGCCTCGCTGAATGATTAAAGCAAACAGAGAGTCTGGTTAATATGTGCTGTCACAGCGGAATAAACAGCAAACGCTGCCCACCAGGCTTTTTGAGGACAGCGATGCTGCGTTTAACCTCAACGCTAAAATGTTTATCTGCTTTATTAACATTTTACATTCATGCATTTAGAAGATGCTTTTATCCAAAGCGACTTACAAAAGAGGAACAAAGCAATTTGTCTAAGAGCTAACAATATGTGTAATGCATAATGCCAGGTTTGCGAGAGAACTGGATGAGGAAGCAAACTGGAAAAGAGGAGAAATGCAGAGAGGATTTGTTATATTAAAGCAACACAGCAGTACCACGTTACTCTGATTTACCATGTTCAAAACAATATACTGAATTATTGCTTGAATATTGGGGAGATGCTTGCGTTTTATTAACAATGATCATAAATATACATTTATGAATAGTAACAAGCTTAGATTTTTAGCATACCTGGATGCAAAGCAACAGGAAACTTTCCACATGAAGCAAATGTGAGTCTACTGTAAAAAACATTTATCAGATTTACTACAGTTTTGGCTCAGAAATTGTTTGTATATTTCACAGTAGAGAAGACATTATTCAGATCTATTCAGATAGTCTGAATGTCTGTCTAGTCTGAATGAGTCTGAATGAGTGATTCAGTCCATTCAGATTCTTTTGAGTGATCTGATGTGAATCTGTCGAGTGATCTGGTGTGAATCTGACGAATGATCTGGTCTGAATCTGTCGAGTGATCTGATGTGAATCTGTCGAGTGATCTGGTGTGAATCTGACGAGTGATCTGGTGTGAATACGTGAATCTGACGAGTGATCTGGTGTGAATCTGTCGAGTGATCTGATGTGAATCTGTCGAGTGATCTGATGTGAATCTGTTGAGTGATCTGATGTGAATCTGTCGAGTGATCTGGTATGAATCTGTCGAGTGATCTGGTGTGAATCTGTCGAGTGATCTGATGTGAATCTGACAAGTGATCTGATGTGAATCTGTTGAATGATCTGACGTGTAATCTGGTGTGAATCTGTCACCTGATCTGATGTGATCTGGTGTGAATCTGACGAATGATCTGGTGTGAATCTGTCATGTGATCTGGTGTTAATCTGTCGAGTGATCTGATATGAATCTGTCAAGTGATCTGGTGTGAATCTGTCGAGTAATCTGGTGTGAATCTGTCAAGTGATCTGGTGTGAATCTGTCGAGTAATCTGGTGTGAATCTGACGAGTAATCTGGCGTGAATCTGTTGAGTGATCTGGTGTGAATCTGATAAGTGATTGATCTGGTGTGAATCTGTTGAGTGATCTGGTGTGAATCTGTCAAGTGATCTGATGTGAATCTGATAAGTGATTGATCTGGTGTGAATCTGTTGAATGATCTGACGTAACCTGATGTGAATCTGTCGAGTGATCTGGTGTGAATCTGTCGAGTGATCTGGTGTGAATCTGACAAGTGATCTGATGTGAATCTGTTGAATGATCTGACGTGGTCTGACATAACCTGATGTGAATCTGTCGAGTGATCTGGTGTGAATCTGTCGAGTGATCTGGTGTGAATCTAACAAGTGATCTGATGTGAATCTGTTGAATGATCTGATGTGGTCTGACGTAACCTGATGTGAATCTGTCGAGTGATCTGGAGTGAATCTGACGTGAATCTGTGGTGTTCAGGTGCAGCATTGATGGCGTGGAGGACAAGCGCATCATCAGCATGCAGATTGACAGCAGGAGTCACTCTCTGTTCGTGGCCTTCACCTCATGTGTGGTCAAAGTCCCGCTGTCCCGCTGCGAACGTCATGGGAAGTGCAAAAAGTGCGTATGCTTTCTCTCTGTTTGAGCTGTTCATACAGACCGCTGGTATTTCTCCACATTAACCCCTCATGTGTGTCTCTCTCAGGTCCTGTATCGCCTCCAGGGACCCGTACTGTGGCTGGGTGTCAGAGGGCGCCTGTAAAGAAATCTCATTGGACCCAAAGTAAGCGGCTCATTCTCAGTCTGTAATTATAGATGGTGCGAGCCAAGCGCTGATGTCAGTCTTCTCTCGCATTGTGGTTTGAGCTGCTGGAGTTTCTCATCTGGAAAAAAGCATTTGACCCCAGAAAACCTCCATAACTCATCTCTTTATTAATATAGCTTATTGAACGCACAGCATGTTTCCACTGCCATCGTCATGTGAGCTCATCAGCGCGCATTTTATATGCTGTTATTATTATTTCTGTTCTGATTGAGTTTTCCACTTCAGAAAGCGAGCCGTACAGAGCTTATGTGAGATCGGCTTGTGCAATTTATGTAAAGTGAAGGATTATGGGATACGATCTGTGTCTGCAATTCAAAGGCTTTTGACTTGATGCTTTCCCCGTTGTTTCAGAAAATGCTTTTTATGAAATGGACCCTGAGAAAGAAGTAGGGCGGTCATCCGTCCGGTTTTAAATTGGACAGTCTAGTTTTTAAATACCATGTCCGCTCATTTGTCTTATGCTTTATACAATGGTATATTATAAAAAATGACAATGTTTTGTTCAAGTTTATATTAAATCATTAAAATTTTAGACACAATATTTTCATTATAGACTGTTTTGCTCCCCGATCAACACAGTGGTGTTTCATTCCTGAATGATTCAGCATTTTTGAATGAATCGAGTGATTCAATGATTTAATAAGCCATTCATAAAGGCAGTTGCTAAATTCAGAACTGCAACCTAGTATACTAATCTCACTATTTTTTGCATCTTTCTGTGGCATAAGTCACTTGCTTCGTTCATGAATGTATCAGCTGTTTTAAACGAATCAGTGAATCAACCAACTCATTAAGACTTGTCTCCACACCTACTGGTGGTTTTAGTTTCATATTCAAAGTATCATTTAATTGTTTTATATTCAGTATATTTTATATTTAACACATTACTCTCCTAACATTATGTAATTGTAGTTGCAGTGTAAATGTATTCATGGCATCTCTGAGCTGCATTAAACAGTCAAATATGGATTTTGTTGAAATTGATTTCATTTGATTGGTCATTGGTTTAGGATTATTTTTCAGTTTTTATCCTAGCTTCATGAATCCTGTCCTACTTTTTGGTGTTATAGAAACGTCCAGCCTATAAAGCAGCGTCTCTGTGTTTCTAATCTGGGCTCTGTTCATGTGTGTTTGAGGTGTTCTCGTGATTCTTCATGAGGTTCAGATCTCATCTGAGCTCGGTTTCATTCTCATCAGCGGTTTCATTGCAGTGTATTTCTCTCATCTGAGAGATGATGAATCTCTTGCTGGATGGTCGAGGGTTGAATGATAACGGGCCGCCCTTCATCACAATCCAACCAGCATCAGTGAAACTTCAGAAATAAACATCTGTGTTTTTATTAATATTCACATCACATTTACAATCCTGTTTTCTGCTTCATTTTCTCATGATATTGTTTGAACGACATTGATTCACTCAAACATGTTTGAAAATGTACTTGAGATTGAAGTCAGTGAGTGTGAAATGGAGGTGTTGAAGTCACTCGCTCACTGCATGCGTGTGTGTGTGTGTGTGTGTGTGTGTGCGCGCAGATGGCCGTTCGAGCAGGACGTGGAACAGGGCAACACAGATGGACTGGGCGACTGCCAAAGTAAGCAGAACCCATTTACTGAGTGCTGGACATTCCTCAGACACAGCTACACTCACACACACACACACACACACACACACACACACACTCAAACAGAAGCCCC